TCTGTGGAATTCGTAGCTAGAAACGGGAATTATCAAATATTCCTGTTGAATTTTCAGCCTAAATTTCGTTTAACACATTGTAAGGTTCGAAGAGGAATCACCTGTTACATGGTCATGTTTTCGAATTTGTTCCTCCAACTACCTGCAGGGTCCTTGTGTCCCGTGCCGCTACATGCAGCAGACACGTCGAGTACGCATGCGTGTCTGCATCGGACAGAGGAGAGATGCGTTCCCACTGTCTCTGCGGGGGTGAGGGTATAGCTCGTAGTACTAGTGCTGCACGGGTTGCAGCTGTTATTATTGCAGGAGCTGAGTAGGATATTTGCGTCTAAGGAACAGTGTCTATTTCTCCGATAGTAACAGTAACTTTAGACTATGAGGAATTGAATGATAGGTTGATAGTAAATAATGGATTTTGAAGATGTTATGGTTTAATTTTAAGGCACTATTCCGGAATTTTTCTGTTAAGATAATTGAAGACCACTAGTAAACATAGGATAGTCAGTATAGCGGCTGAGATTCGAACTGGGAACATCCTGAAACGTCAGAAACATTACTTCTTGAGCCAACGTTCTCGGTACTGAGAGAGAGTGTAATAGAGAATTGTGCGTGACGTAGGATGGATATTTTGTTATTCAGTGGTCATCATTGCTAGTTTCCTGAGCTTAACCCATTTTCCGACACATTGAAGCAAGAATTCAGCAATTTTGAGGCTGAGTCTCCTCGCCTGCTACTGTGAGGGGTGTCTACTCATTTGGGGCCAATGGAAAGAGTTGATCTCCATCACTGGATCATCTGACCAGTGAATGAAAGAGGACCCTGTTCCTTTAATATTGTGCTTTGCTTTATAATCCAAAGATAGACAGAGCTCAGAAAGCTAACAATTCTGACAGTAATATATACAGTATCAGCGGAACAGTTTAGATTTGATTTATTCGGTAATGTCGTTTTAATATTATTCTCTTGACTAAAACAAATTGAATCTGTATTTTTATTTAATTAAATCATTTTCGTTATTAAACATTGTCACATGTATGAATGAATGTACAAGGGGTTTTGGATTTGTGACTGGATTTATTGATCACTTATACACTCAACTAATGACTATACGTGACTATAGGAACTTTACTGGTTTACACACACTACAGATCACTGTAACTGTAACATTGTCTTCTATGTCTTCTCTTCACGAACTCCCTTAAAACTAACTCCCAAGCAGGCATCCATCTCACATAAACCTCCTAGTCTTCGCTAGTCGTCTCTTAGTAACGAATCTTGACACTGTCCTCCGCTTATGTCCTTACCGCCTGACACATATCCCACAAATAACCTAAACTCAAAGTCAAAGTTAATTTACGACTGGCGGTTTGCCGCCAATCAGTTCATCTTGGTGTCAAGCCCCTTGAGACTCATGACAGACACTTTTTTTCAACTGAACCATTTGCTTTAATACTCCTTATATAACACTCTATCTGACGACAAGACGGGTCTTATGAATATGCTTGGCCTTATCAATTGAACGTATCCACACATGGCACTTTATCAATAATTCTTCCTTTTGTACTGTCAGTAAAGTCTTTGCAAAGCAGATCATGCCTCTCTTACATAGTTTGAACTGACCTCTAAAATTTGTCCCGTTTATAAGTTCTTGGCAAGGACCGCACAGAAAACACCGTTCCTATGTTGATGTACCATTGTTGCGTTTGTCTCTTGGGGTTCCCACGTGAGCGCTACTCAGCCAATCCCCTGGCCCGCTAGCCTAATAACAGCTGTTTACCTTTTTTTTCTCTGTCTTTGCCCAAGAACGTGTCTATACAACACAATACCTTACGCAAAACCATCTAAACAGTAAGAAGGAGTAAAATTGTGAAGAAATTCTCCAGCATTTTGAGAGAAATATTTCCATTCAAGATTGTGCACTTTCTGTGGCAGTGCATTTTAAAATATAACGCTCTTAAATCACAGACTGAGCAATCCAAATTTTCTTTATAAATGTGAGTTTAATGTTCTTAATATCTTCAGTAAGGTGCACTGTACATGTGACACTTCATCATGCACCCAGCGACAGCAACGAACGGCAACCCTTAACTCTAGTTAACATATTAGTAGGCCGTGCCATAGCTCAAGCGATTAGTCGCCAAATTTCCACCGCGGTAGCCCTGGTTCGAGCACAGGTTAAGTCATGTGGGATTTGTAGTGCACAAAGTGGCACTGGGACAGGTTTCTCTCCGAGTACTACGGTTTCCCCTGCCAATTCTCATTCCACACACTGCTCGATACTCATCATCTATCATCCGGGGTTGGTACAGTAGGCCAGATAGTGGCCGACGTACCAAGTGGACTCAGCCTTACCCCAACCTAAGAAACTAAAAAAAAAAATAATATACATGTAGGAGAATTGGTGCACAGGTCACTGCTCGGCTGGAAATGGATTACATGTCCAAAGAAAAGCCCAGATTTTTCTCCATAAAGACTCAGTTATAGGATATCCGTTCTCGGGTTATTGGCGGTTATATTTTGAGAAGAGTTTCTTTTTTTTTCAGAAAAGAATTTCAGCTTCATTCTAGAGTTTTATATGCAGATCTGAAATTTATATAAGGTAAAATTGTAACACGAATTAGTAAATTGGGATACAATGTCTATTGAAACGCCCTTTGAGGGTTCGGTTTCCACAGCAAACCCTTCGATTAACCCATCGTTATATAGGTCATCCCTTGAAGAACCGTTTAAAATCATGATTTCTCTCCATATGATCGACATTAACTTGCAAACACTGATAGATTAAGCAAAATAACCATAAGCGTGTCTAGATGTTCATATTGTAACGTCACCGCGGGGGAGGGGGCGCCCACCGAGTGTTGCGTACTGATGGAAGGAGTGGAGGTATGTGACGTCACTCGCGAGGCCACAGATTTCACGCGACCCCCACTTCCCGTTGCGCCATCCACTTCACACTATATACGGTATCGGCCGAAAATATAACAGCGAGCGGGGCGCTGGTAACTGACTGAGATTAGTTTTGCATTCGGTTTCCATGGAAACAGTGTAATGAAGAACCGACAAACACTGCGTGCATACACTAATTGTATGCAGTCTGTGTGTGGCAGAACTGTGAATGGATCTATCATCTCAGCTGGAGCTGCCAGCACCCAAAAAAATGCCGTTTATGTCTTGAATGACATATTATCCGGCCTCCCCGTCTGAACTTTCAGTTGCTACGCATCTTAAGGCTCTTGTACGCTGCAAGTGGTAGTCAGTGATGTTGCTGGCGAGACAGCATGATATACGAGTTATAGAGCATGCGCCATGAACCTTACATGGAGGAACACGGAACAGATGAAAAATATAAATATAGTTTTGGAGGAAAAGTTGAAAGGATTACACCGCTTTGAGTATCAAGCATAGATTCGAAGATAGCACTAAAATCTTAAATATAGCAGACCTTTTGGAGCGTACTGGTTTCATCTGGCTCGAGATAGGGACCAGTGGCTGGCTGTTGTGAACACGGAAATGAAGTATATAGGTTTCTGTCGAAGGCGTGGAAATACTTTTACTCAGCATCTCATGCTATGAGTCGAACCACTTGAAACTATCCCATATAGCTTATATATACCTGCGAGGTAAGGGCTCAAGCATAAGTAAATCGAATAATGCAGATAGGGATGTTTGTTGTAGAATTTGCAATGTAACTAAATATTATATTAATACGAAAAATTCCTCTGAGATAGTTTTTTTTCCCCAAAATCACCTTCTGCTCCACAAACACACATATATACAGCCGTCTCACGCATGTGAGCTAGCATAATTTGCTATTATTTCATTTATGAAACGTAGTCCATAGGTTAATGTCTTCGCTCGCTCGAACACTGGGATCGTGGTTTACAGTCCCATTGAATGCATAGATATCTGTTTGCGTTAGGTAGCGACCATGCGTCGGGGTGACCACTCGTCCAAGGAGTAACACCGACTGTCTAACATTAAGAAACTGAAGTTAAAGAGAGACGTTTCAAGTGTGTCCTATTCTCAAAGTGGGACCAACAGGAATAGAAGAAGTCCATAGGTTATGTCACATAGATAAAGGTAAAAAAGCTATCCCTGTAACAGGCCTCGAAAATCCACAGTGATATGAGACGTCGAGGTTTCCACGCTTTCTAGATAATCGGCTCATAACTGGTAATAAGTTTGTCAGCCTTACGCGTCGGTCGCCCTTTACCCCACAGGAAGATCCCTGGTAACCATTTCTGTTAGAGGCTGAGTCGACCCCATGGTCATAGTGCGGCAGGAAGGATTAGGTAAAGTGAAAAAATATACTTCATCGGGACTCGAACCCGCGACCTTCCGGTTTGTATCATAGTGCCCCCTTGTGTTACGTGGCATATACGTACCGATATCCTCGCATTAAACGTATCAGGTTGGTTTGGATAAATTGTTATTGGTCCTCGCCAGGGCAGTCTTTCTTGGTTCCGAGTTCCGCGGGATTAACACCCACATTATTCTGTCCTGCGTCTATCTCGCACATTGACGGTAATTCAGCGTAGCTATATAAAGTGTAAATGTTGGGGTATCAACCGTGGGAGATACACAGAAAATCAAAATAATGTTTTTTTAATTAAATATATGATATCAGAACAGAGGGACTGCTTTACTTAAAACAAAAAACTCTTAAACAAACCTATAACCGAAAATGAAACAATGGAAAATGTTCAACATAAGTTCTGTCAACTGAATTTTTAGGCTCTCTTTTTACGAATTTCCCTGACTTGCGAATTTCTTCTGGTGCCCCGTAGGAAAAAAAATTGATCAGTCACGTTGCTATCTCGAGACGTCTCAATTTAAGTCAATGGTTATTTAAGACGTCCCAAAAAGTGGTGTACCACAGACTCTAGTAAATAAGGAGCCTTTAGTTTGTCATGCGCACTGGAGAACGCCGAATATCATGTTTTTGTTAAATTTATTTAGACTAAACGAACTAACCAATAAATGTGTTGTGTTGTCCACAGGTTTCTTGCAATCTGGTGGCCCTTGAAGTGCCAGATTACCAAGCGACGGGCCCGCTTCATGATTTTCGTCATCTGGGTGATCGCCCTTACCACAACCATCCCGTGGGCCTTGTTCTTCGACTTGGTGATAATCTTCAACAACGCGCCAGATGTTCTTCTCTGTGTGGAGGTGTGGCCGGACGCGCTAGATGGCACCCTATACTTTCTTATCGCCAACTTGTTGTTCTGCTATATCCTGCCCATGATCCTTATCTCCCTCTGTTATATCCTCATATGGATCAAAGTGTGGAAGCGCACGATCCCTACTGACACGAAGGACGCGCAAATGGAAAGGATGCAACAGAAATCCAAGGTGAAAGTCGTCAAGATGTTGGTAGCCGTCGTTATCCTGTTCGTACTCTCCTGGCTGCCACTCTACGTGATCTTCGCAAGGATTAAGCTCGGAGGGGAAGTCGAGATTTGGGAAGATGACATATTACTTGTGGCCACGCCCATTGCGCAGTGGCTCGGGGCATCCAACTCCTGCATAAATCCAATTCTGTATGCGTTCTTCAACAAGAAGTACCGCAAAGGTTTCATCGCCATTTTGAAGAGCAGACGCTGCTGCGGACGCCTCAGGTACTACGAGTCTGTTGCCATGTCCTCCTCTGCGAGCATGCGCAAATCGTCTTACTACGTCAACAATAACAACTCCTCAACACGGCGCCCTCCTGGTCAAGACACGTCCGTGTCATACATCTTCAACAATACGGGCGTCTAGGAATGCTTTGGGCACATGATTTTGGATTAGCACAAAATTTGTATTCCCGCTATAGTCAGGGAAATGATGGCTTAAGGGAAATATTCCTTTATTAGCCACTTTGTGATGGCGACTGTCTGCCATTGTTTTGCAGTTGCCAGGCCCTAGTTAGTTTCAGGCTGAATGATTTCTGGTTGATTGAGCCCGTGGGTACCTTTGCTCGTTGCTGCAAATGGTTTACAAGCCGGAGGGGAGTTATTGGCCATGTTGGTCCCGAGCTCAGTTGGAATCGAGCGTTGCGAAGTTGGAGTTAAGGCAGGTTGTCCGGAGCCACTGGGAGAGGGCTCTGAGCTTTAAGCTTAATAGAAAAACCTAATAAATAATAATATTAAAGTAACAGGGTAAATTTCATTGTTTACGATACACTTCTGCGACGGGTGCTTACACATACTGTTAAAATAATGTTTATGTCAGGAGCCGTACCACACGATTTCAGGAAGACCATCTTCAGATGAATATTACCAGTAACATATACTCTAATTCGTCATTCTAATGTAAATCCAAATTCTGCCTTATTGTGGCTTATTCTAAAACGTATTGAAGTTAAACCAATCTCAATTCTTTACAAAGAAACACTAATTTAATACCTGATTTTGTCTTGTGTCTGTTGGTAGTTTTGTTGTCAGCAAATGCTGATATTATTTAAACTGGCTTGGCAATATTGTGTCTAAACATGGATTCAGTTGCTAATCTTTTTTGCAATGAAAACAATTAAATAATTGCTAAAAATTAATCACTAATAATATTCATAGACATAAAAATGTTATGTGCATAAATGATAAAAGTTTAGTGAATGTGATCTTGGCTCTGGTGGTTGGAAGCCACCAGTCTGGATCAAAAGCTCCACTGCATTTTATTTGCACCATATTATTAGTCACACAGTGTTGCTTCATTATGTAAACACGTAGCATAATTGTATTGTACTGAATCATATACAGCGTTACCAATGAACATGGCGTGCGTATGTAACGTTCACATTGGACAATGAGAAGTGTTGTTGTTGTTGTTGTTGTTGTTGTTAACATTATTCCTAAATTAGAGATTCAGTAGAGAAAGAACTCGAAACTCTCTTTTGCAGAAGTTGTTGTTCAGGAGAAATTACATAATTCTTGTTATTGTAAATGTAAATATTAGTAATACAGTTTTATACAAAACTGTAAGAATTTGATGGGATTAAGATGCATGCAAATCTCGTCAACTCTGGTTGCTTTGCATTTATTATTTGTGTGGCACCGATACCTCGTTAAGTTGGCCTCAGTGTACGCGAACTGTCACGTGAAATGCAAGGTATGTGACGGTAGAACATCATGAGTACCATTTCACGTGTCCACATCCCAGGATTCTGTTCCAGTACGAGGGATCAACCTTTATTTAAACAAGTACAAAATATCTTGCATGAAGTCAGAACATGTGTTGTGGTCCTTCCCTGTGATTTCTTCACGTACGTAACAAGCAAAAGGATTGTCATAACGCACAAAGATACTTAGAGTAGCCTTATTATATACAATAAATCGCATGTAAAGTAAATGACCTCTATCCAACTATGTCGTCAAGATATATATGTATCTACTTTCTTTTTAATTTTCCATAAACCATTCCTTTCTCATCTAGCAAACATCATCAGAAACTTCGTTTTACTAACCTGCATCAGTCTAGGCAGCTATTACTTTCCTTTCAATATTTAAGTCTCACATATTCCCGAAACTGACACATATTTCTTTCCTTTATTTTCACCTAGAAACTTCAAATTCTCTCCTCTTCGAGCATGAAAATTTCTTACAGTCTAAATTTATTGAATGTGTTCTAAATTAATGCCTCATTCATAAAGAGAAAGGCTTCCAAAGTTGAAAGTCGTGGTTGTTTTCTTAGTAACGAAACTTAGCGTAGTCTCCCTGGTAATTGCTGTTGTAAAAGAAGGCCGGTCTTATATTCACGGTTGTAAAATGATTTACATCTAGAAAGTACATAAATTTTAATCAACTTAAATTTTACCAGTCACAACAAATACTTTCCTCTTTCGGAGTTATGTTAATACGTAGTTCAAGAGAAACTGACTGCATTGGTTAAAATATTGATACTTTGTGGCAGAGGTACACGTGGATACAAATTTGATCTCCTAAGAGATAAATTGGAAAGATCTGTTGAAGTCAAGACAAGTTTTGGTATTACAAAGAATTCGCAAATTTTGTCTCATATTGACTCACGCTCATTGTAGACCATGTGCTTGAGAAGTTCTGTAAGCCAGAGGTTCTGCAGGTTCCACTCCTGCTGTTAATATTAGACCCACATCACGAAGTTTCATTTAATCTCATAATTTTACCACTATATTCCTTCTGACACAAGTTGTATTTCTGCTTCAGTCGTGTCCACCTGATTCATCAGTCACTAAACGACCATCATGATATAGATATAGCCTTATAGTTACACAAAGAATGCAGAATAGTTCAATTTAATATTAATTTAATTTAATTAATATTTCTAGTATAACACCCTCGAAACTAAAAAAATAACTTGAAAGTAATTCCTTGTAAGTGTAGAAGCATAGAGAATCAGATAACAAACAACCAAATCATTGCAATATGACTATATCAGTGAGGGCTAAGCAAATTTCATATTCTTTCTTGTTTCAAATTCCCTCCACCAGGTGTAAATATCAAAGGCGCGCTTCAGTTCTTATTGTGAAGTAAATTGAAGTCACAAATTTAATTTTCTAGGGGGAGGGGGCAGTCTCCAGTATTAGTTGATTAAGATCGATCCTCATTTCTGTAATATTATGTGACAGTACGACTTATTGTAAAATTCTTGCGATTGGTTTCTATGTACGCACAGTTTTGTAGATCACCAAACCATCCCAATTCCTGTCCACACTTGGTGTCGACGGCTTGAATTAGATTTGGCAGTATCTTTACAACGTGTGGGATATCTGCACCATTCTTATGAAATTCACACTTTTTGGCTGCGAAAGTACATCATTGTTATGTAGTGGATAGTATGAGTGAGGGCATACAGTAATTTTATATGTTTTCGTAAGCAGTATGCAATATTACGTAAGTCTTTACATGTTAAATTGTCATAATCTGCAAGTGTCTTTAATAATTTTTTCATTGAAACTAATTAAACTCATTCACTTATTCTCTTGCAAGAAGCTGTAGGTTTCCACAGCAAACAACAAATTCCGGTAACTAAAAGAAATTTCTCATGCCTTTCTTCATATTTTCGGGTGATTAAGACGGTTACAGAGGCATAATGACAGTGTACGTCTAACGGACGAAAGCTCACATGATATCCAAGTGATTAACATGGCGGATGAATTTAATTACAAGTACGGTGACTTGAAGAATAATTATGCTTGCCTGCACGCGATTGCCACACGCAGACATAAATTCAATTAGCATTGGTTTACTCTTCTTGTTTTCAAACTGAATTTTGTGCTGAGATAAATCTGTGTTACAGAATTTTAAAGTAAAGCTTTCTCAGAGGTTTATCATTATTTGACTTCATGGGAATTGTTTTATGTCATATCCCTGAATTTTCTATTCTACTGCTGGATTCTCGAGTTGAACAGAATTACTGACGAAAGAGCGACTTATCTCAATTCCTGACATGTGTTCCAGTTTACCGCTCGCTTAGTGAACAACAGAACAGTATCAAGTAACAGCAGTGGGCACTGAATAACGTTTAGTCTCCCAGTATGGCGCAGTCTCACAGTGGGGTTCAAGGCAGCACGTGACACAAACATATATACATCTGTTTCATTATTATTTTGGTGTGAACTGAATGACGTGACACAGTCGTCATACTTAAGCAGTGACGTATGTACTGCTGTCACTACTCTCGTACATCTGTCCGTCAAAGTATCTTCGTACAAATCCGTCAAAGTAAATCTTGCAAATGCCACAGTTCGTAAAGTCCTATTAGATCGTTGCCACGCCATGCCCGTAGCTTTGGTCCAGTAATCACAAGTGACTAATGTTTAAAAAACAAATGTCACTAAACACAGGTTTAATAATAAAAAATAAAACAGCATAAACGAAAGCTGTTTTAAACACCTACAGTTTATCTCATGATCATACTACTGATAATGAAATGTGTATTTTACTGATGTTCCGGTCTAGAAAACCTAGATTTAGACCGTGGGGATCCGTTATGCTGAACACGTGACAGCCTCTGTCCTCAAAAGTTGGTACTAACTTCGCCGACAAGCGGCAGTCGCTCGGTCCGTATAGTTTGCTTGCGGACTACAGGCCACGGAGTTTGTTTGTTTTTATTTTGGTGATGTGAATTAGGAATATTTACTTCATTTTGACTGAATCTGAGATAACGAACAAATTTCCGAGGAAATGTAAGCTGTACCGGTCTTGACATGATTTCTTTTGATGTACAATGCATATATTTCAGCTCCAGCGCTGCGGACATAAACTGTGGTTAATTTTAATTCCAGTTGTTGGTAGGTACCTGAACATATTTTCAGCTTATTCATTATGTTGCGGGCTAGACGACCAAAGAACGGGTTTCAATTCCCGGCAAGGCCAAGAGATATTCTCTTTTCCGTAGCTCCCAGACCGAATCCATGGCCTACTTAGCCTCGTATACAACGGGCACAGGAAGATGTTTTTCCTGGGGTGAAGCGGCCGGGATGTGAAACTGACCACTCATTTCCATCTAATGCCCAAGTTAAGAAACGTGGAGCTATACCTCCAGTTCCTCATACGTATCTATGGCATTGCGCTGAATTAGCGAGACAAAAGAATAACTTGAGACGTTACCTTGACTGAAGATAGTACACAGAATACTTACAAATCCGGCCTCCAGAAATAAAAATGAAATTTTACTCTCTGGAGCGGTTAAAGTGTTAACAGTATTTAAGGAGAAAAAAACTATATCATTAAATAGTTTTATAACATAATTTTGTCCTGCATATTAAGGAGTAAAAGTACATTAAAATTAATATTATTTTAAAATGTCCCATGCATTTCTTACATGACCTTAACTTGTCAAATAGGAAAAGTCTGGAATGACTAAACATTAATAATTCTGCTTCATGATGTAAAATTGACATAAGTAATGATAGTAGTAGGCGGTATGTGTTGTTACGTCACGGCTTCCTTAGTTTTTATTTGCAGTTTATATGACAAAGCATCAGCAGTTTAGAATTCGGAGTGTAGGTTGACAGAATGGTAGTTAAATGAATGTGAAAGATTGTGGAAATAGGGGATCGTGAGCTAATTTAAGATACCGTGGCGGAATCCTGGAAGGGGATAAGTAAATTCCCGGCTGAAATTCAAATCTTGATCCTTCTAAACACAGGTCAGAAGCGATAGCACTTGATCCAACCTGTTCAGTTGCCTCTTTTATTCTTTTGTTTTCCTGTATTAAACAACAGTCTGTCCATTACCTCGGGTATGTTCTGCATAGATATACAGAAGTAGGTAATCCTGGTATTATGAAAAGCACCCTGCAATTGTACAAAATCATTGGCCCGGAAATTATACACAATAGCTGGTTACTTTTCGTATTTGTCAGTTAATCAGTGGTATCATAATGTATACACTACACAACGTTTCAAAAATTAGATCCGTTTCGGTCATGACGTGGAAAGGGGAATTGATACTATTGAGTTGGGCCGTTTAAAAGTCTATAGTCCATTCGCGGAGACGAGACAGTTAGCGTAAACAAAGCAAGCCCCGCGTCGCCACAGCTGACAGCAAGGGGTGGACAAAGCGCGCAGTTACTTCAGTGTACTCACTGCATTCGGACGCACGTTAACCTGCATTCAGACTGAAGAGTGAACTTTGGACGCCCCTGCAACGGTACACGCATCACGTGATCGCTGCATGATTTCATTCAAAGAGCGAAGGAGATACCGCGTGCATTTGTTTACGAGGACTCTCTCGTCTCAGCGAATGGACTGTAGGAGCTCGTTCCATTGGTGGACACTAGCTCTGTCAAACCAGCGATGTAGATTGGGAACATATTCCCCATTCTTCCTGACGACGGAAGTGGATCCATTACCCGAAACATGCATATAAAATATATATTCGACACGATAGACGGTGTACAATGTAACTCGTTCGCACAGAACTAAAGAGAATCAACTTCATTTTGTAGCTCACTTCAGATACACCAGAACACGTTTGTCAAGTACCCGGTTCAGTACTCAGCTGAAACACCGACTACCTGGCTGCGTTTTTTTCTGGAGAGAGAGTTCTCTCAGTTTCCTAAGCAAATTCTGAGGTAACGCTTTCTCTGTGGGTAAAGAGGTTGGATCGTGCAGCTTACCACTCAACTCAAACAAGTACCGAGGTCAAGAAAACATGGATCTATACATCCATTCCCCCATACGCCTTCATGGCTTAGTAATTAATTAGTTAGGCACACAGACAAATTTAAGTCGAATCGCGCCACGGGTACTTCTACATGCTCTTCAAACTATTGGTCATTTCTCACCTTAGTGTCGGAGGTCATGTAATTTGACTAGCGACAGTGTCGTTAAATAAGCAGTAAATCTGACGGAATGAGAACCGTCCATAGTGCCGGAAACGTTTTGTAGCCATTCTTTTTCAAGTTCTGTGATCTAATAATCGCATGCTTCATTTCAAACCCCGCACTAACTTCTATCTCTGCTGTAACAGGCCTTTTCTCCTTTAATTTATTTTGATTTCATTAGGTAAATTTAAATGTTTCTGTTCCAGAACCTTTTATTAACTTTATTGTTTCTAGACATTGTTACTATCTGTTTCTAGAATGTTAACTGAGGAAACGTTATGGATGGAGGTCCGTGGGACTGAAGCATTCACGCAACAACTTCACCGGTGTCCATCGTCCCTGAGAAAAGCAGACTGTAAGTTCATTAGCTCTGATTCCATAAGAGCATCTGCTCTCTGATACAGATTTCCTCACGATATGGAGATAACCATAAGGCATTAATATGCATAGCTTCAGCTAAATTAGAACTTAATGACAGTAATTGCACGAGGTGTCAACGTATAAGAGCCCTTTCTTACTACCAAGGACTCCAAGAGTCGAACTTTCCCTCCAGTCGAATGGGGCGGGCCCATAACTCATAAGTTTGTTCAACGTCTGCACGGTTTAGAAAACTTGTATATACAAGCATTTACGCCTGAACATGAAATATAAATTTAATGACGTTGAACTGGTGAAATATTCATTGAAATTCAACAGTTTATACGGTTCCCACCTATAGCTATATTATGCACAGAGATATCTTCTACTGGTCCAGTTTTATGCTCTGGAACCATTGATGGACAATTTAAAATCACGGTTTCACCGAATATGCTCTGTGACCTTCATAGTGTGGCACATAAGCCGTTTCTATGAAACGAATTGGTAAATACTTTGCCAAGGAGAGACTGATTTTTGAAAACCAACTCCGTACGGATTACGGTTTCTATGAATATGAAAACTGAAAGTTGTAAACACTCAGAAACCAAACGTTAGCTTGGGATTGAACACACGGTTTCCGAGACAACGCATTCATGAAGAACAGTAATATAACCCTGGGAGGCGGTGATCTCTGTTCGATTCTGTCGCCTAGCAATGGTCGTATTCGTGGCAGTATTTTCCGTGTTGTGGTAAAACTTCATTAAGATTCAATGGATTTCACATTTTGGTCGAGTGTATCTTTATTATAATAAAGCTATACATGAACTACAATAAATTCATTTAAGCCCTCCTTTATGTCTTTAGACCTGTTTTAGTTCTCTTTTTCTATGCCTATTTTTGTCTCCTCTTTGCGAAACATTGATCAGTGGTGTGACGTTGTGGGAACAGCTCCGTGTAAACCAATGACTCGCTAAGACGCGCCACAAACGCCCATGGAAAGAAGCCTTCATCTATATAAGCTGTAGCGAGATGGCAGATATTTGTCACTGCGCAAGACATTATGTCTCCGTTCCGTAAGCTTCGTCGACCCCTTATGATTAGGCAGCTCCCAAAGGCTTCGGAATCCCCATGATTTCTTTTTATTTAAACGAGAAGAGTGTTCCTTTTTATCTGTCACTACTGTCTCCGTAATGAGATATTTCGATCTTAGTTTCTTGTCCAAAACGTCGGAGATCCTTTCGGGTGTAGGCCAAAATACTTTAAGACTTACTGCAATTATTCTAACAAAAGTTGTTGCAGTTGATGGGCCGAAGAAATATTAAGGACAGTGCAGATATTCCCACTGTTTCTGCAAATCCTAACCTGTTTAGACGAGTTACTGAACTATAGAATGCATGCACGACTTCTTACGTGCAGAAATTATCTGTCATATCTTGGATTTTAGGTCTCTACTGTGATTACGTATGAAGATATATTCTGAGATATGACTCCGTGTAAACTGATAGAAATTTACTGATGTTTCTGGGAAATGTACTGCTTCCGTATTCAGCGTCATAGAGTACCCCAAGCAATCAATCTTCAAGCAGAATACAATTGAAACATCAGCAAACTTATATCAGGGTACACGGCATTACATCCCTGAAGCTAGAATTCTTCATCTGCCGTCTCATTTCCTTTATTAAAGTTTCGTCAATGATATATTGTAATTTGCTGGAAGACTGGCCGTTCCTCTTATGATTCGGAAGTGGAAGTAAATTTTACTGAATTTAATTGTATTTGGCAGAAAATCATTGTTTTCCATAAATTGTATTTATGTTAGTTTTGAGGTTTTCACGGCGATGACTATGAAGAAAGTCGTCTTCTGGGATCTGGCGCCGTGTATTCTTGGTTTTATCCGACGTTTCGGAGGAACGTATCGCCTCCATCTTCAGGGCAGGTGAATCGCGATGCGAATACAGAGAGCAGTAGCTGCTAGACTTTAATTTGCTTAGTATTATAAACATCCATAGTGTTTTGAGTAAAATTGAAGGAAACTAACTGTGATAAATCAATTTCGTTTTGAAAGGGAGTTTCAACACTAACAAGACCGTTTTGTCATAGCTCGTATTTTTCATTCGTGGTCACGTTATTTACCTGTGGTCATGTTGTTTCCATTCTAAAATGTCGTTTCAGCGAGATTTTTTTAACATTCTGACGATTTATATGCAATATGTTCTACTGAGTTGAGAATATGTATTGCAACTAAATAATAAATATAAATACATTTTTAAATGTCATTTTTCAACATCTGTGTGTAAGTTTACTTCCAGTCTGGTGTTAAAATTATTGATAGTTTTTCGATATTAACATATTTCCCGCGATAAATCGTTCTTAAGTGAGAGAATGTTGAAATCTAATTCTATATTTGCCAGTTCTGTTTTTAATAATATTAAAGAGAGAGCGCTGAAAGGCTATCAAATATGTACAGCTCTTCCACTGATCTTGTATTACTTTTCTGCAACAGAGTGCATCTAAGTAAATATGTTAATATAAAATTCCTTGTAATTTTAACCTTTTCATTACGTATTTAAAAATGAGAACGTAAGTGAAAAATAATTAATTTAAAGAAAAGGTTTCTAAAAGTTTTGTGTATGTTACTCTATGATTCATTCCATAAACTGTGGTCGATATGAAACTACAGAATACACTCTACAAATGAGCATAATACGTTCGAAAATGACTCCTTGCTAAAATCATTGCTTAACGTAAAATATATTATTTTCGGAAAATCGAATTGAGCTTCAAAATATGAACAGCACCAACAATGGAAAACTATTTTTCATATTTCTCTCTTAGTGGGCTCAATATCGAAATGTGTAAGAAAAAAGAGAACAATCGTGGGAAAATACTACCAAAATATCTTTTGAGAGAAGATAAAACGAATTTTAATTATTTTATAAAATTTTCCTCAAATGAAGTCTAAAATATCGTAATTAAATTTAAATTTCCTTTGTAGTCAAATCGATCTTCAAAACTGTATGCGTTATCACTCATGCTTTTAATGTCCTCAATAATGGAAGGCAGATGACATTTTAAATACATTCCTTCACATCATAATTCGCCAACGACAACTGGAGAAGAATACACCTGTAAATTACGTAGTTATTTCTCAGTACAGTACAATGAGTACTAGAATATTGATCATGTGTGGACATTAATCTTTTGCGTAATATAAACATTTCCTCTCTCTTCTTTAACAAGAAAATTCCTTATGCTGAAATCTTACGACAACCGCACACCAATTGCGTCAAGACAAGCATCAAGACATGAGACAAAATACGCAGTCTTGCTTCATTCGTGATTCGTCAGCATCTTGACTCAGGCTGATGTGCGGCGGTTTTCATAATCTCATTCGTTTCAACTGTGCTCCTTTCTTTGCGTCATGTCGCAGACATCGTGTCTTGACTGTTACATGTCTTGACGCATGCCGGGGTGCGGCCTACCTAATTAATGGTAGCGTGTTAACTCAGACGTATCTCAAAGCATACTTGCTGGTGAATCCTTAGTTTAAATACGAAACAGAAAAATCGTGGATCATAAAATATGACATGTTACAAATGGGTTAACCTCCGTCACTTGTTGGTTCGAGACACTTTTCCTCCTTCCTTTGCATCAGGATACAGGCAAGAATAACTAGCCAATACATGTTACAACTCTAAGGTGTCTGATGACAGTTCTCTCTTCAAAAATTATATTTAAATTATTTTCGCAACTCAATTGTTGATCAAACAATGATGCTATATGGTAATGTGAAGCTTTAATGAGTAATAATATTGGCTTTTAGACATTCATTAGTGCATATTTAATGTCATGATAGGCACAAAGTAGACACTTGAATCATGTATCATATATATCGTTTTGCTGCTGAGAAGCAAAGAGACCAAATAAGCCTCATATGGTAGGCAGTCTAAAATTAGATCATATTTTGAAATGGTGATTATGAAGTCTTAATATATAAATGTGTATCACTGTAATAATTAAGGTAACAATATATTGTGTGTTTTTGTACAACATATGTAATACACAACATTATGTAGTGTTCGCCTAAGGTTTGATAGTAGTAGATATGAGTTAAAGAGAAAGTTGTTTTAAGACACTTAAAAAGTATGAAAGTTGCTTATCTGTTAAAATTTGACGACTATGTGAGTGTAATAAAATAATTTAGTTTTATAAATATAAATACAAGCCTTGAGCTACGTCCACACAAGAGAATGTGGTGTGTACCAATAGCCTATTGTTTCTAGACGCAGGAATAATAATATTCTTACATGTAATAATGTTGTGATAAGAAGGAATTTATTGAAACGACTTATGTACTCAAAAACAAAGTTCCACTTGTAAGAACAATAGCTCTGAGAGCAAGGTGGACATAATTAATGAGCCATTGTCAAGTCCTGTACCAAAGAGTATTTTCAACAAAGTCACCAGGAGTTCATATATATAACTCAGTCGTGATTGAAATATGATAATGATTTCTGAAGGGACAAAAACGAGGCACTCTTTTCGATACAGAAAGTTATCTCCTCGTTGAATTTACGTTAGGGGATGGAGCGAGCCTACAACATGAAATTCACGGAGGACATATTTCGTTTAATTTATATAAATGTATACGTAACCTAATGTATTTAGAAGTTATGTAAATTAATTTATTTATTCAGAAAGAAAGTGGCAAGAAGTTGGCATGAAGTACAGACACTAATGAGAACTGCAAATCTGCACGTTTATCAGTGAAGACAAGAGAAATAATGAAGTCTGGGCACTGGAATGCGGCTTCAGTCGTTGTGGAGCAGATATACACAAAACCCAATTTATTCAAAGCCATGGATAGCCCAATTTTCTTAATGTTCGGATGCGCAGTATCCTTACACATTGGCGAATGATACTTTAAAGATTAAGATTTGAGATAAGTGTAATCCATTCTCTTGCACTTTGTAATATATTATGCTTTCTTGTTAAAAATATAATTACGTAATTTAGAAAAATGTGAAGAATATTTTCTTACGATGTCTTACAGAAACAGTACCTAACGAGGCTGTCTGAGAAGGTTGTGTACAAATAAATAACTAATTCTTATTAGCTGATTGAGATTATGGATTCAAATCAAGCTGTATTTATCACAGCACACTTCTGGTTTACTGCACTCATTAGAGTGAGTGAAAATATCATCAGGTCAATTACAGTTTATTTGCAGATCTCTGTGATATGTAAATATGTAATGCTATATAAATGGGATATTTTAATAGGATAGGGATTTCTCAGAACGTCTGAGGGCTGTTTCGCTCCATCACAAATTTCCTAGCGTTCGTGAAAGCCGAATTTTTATTGCCATTTTGACAAAAGTAATTATTTTGCCATATTCTAAGTCGTTATAATCGATTTACCTTTTATG